GGAATTCATGGACTGTTGGATTTTATCTCACTGGCTGAATGGCTAACGAGTTCTCCTTGTAACCTAAAGGTCCTAGGTTTGATTCCTGGTAGGTTCATGGCTGCGTCTTGTTAAAGAGTCACAAATTAAGATGCAAAAGTCATTCAGTACTGACACCAATCCGGGATTAAACTTGAAAGCAAATTAAACTGGAGATAATTTTCTTTCCTGTCCTGGTGCGTACACTTTATAATCAAGTTTACACAATAATTTCTGTTTTCTCTCTCTCTCTTTCTTTTTACTATTCATATAGTCTTGCAGGTTACACGAGAAGATGATAAAGCACGAATTCGTAAAGCCTACCATGAAATGGCACGGAAACATCATCCAGATAGACAGAGGACAGTAGAAGAGAAACGCAAAGCTGAAGAACGCTTTCGTTTGATCAATACTGCATATGAAGTGAGTCAGTGAGTGTATGTGTTTATGTGTGTCTATGTGTGCACGTTTGCATTCCTGTAACTATATAATGTTTTAAAGTCCAGCCAAGATCAGAGGCACGACTGACAATCTGTTTTCCCTTAATTGTTATTACTCAGACCGTCGATACTTTTTTGACAACATTGGTGTTCTTACTTGGAGAGTTTAGAATCCATTGAGAATGTTTTAGTAGCATGTGATCTTGTTTAAGAAATTGGGTTTTGGTTCTCGTTAGTATTATTTGGATCTGCTGCTCAGAGAAAGTCGACATACTGTTCTCTCCATCCACCCCCTTTTTGTTGAAATCGACTTCCATATATGCAAACAGCTTCAAGGTAGGAATAATTTATCGTAAAACAACTTGTCTTGTGCAATTTCAAGTTAAGTGCGAAATTTATAAGTTGTTATTATTCCTCTAGTCGATAATAACCAGAGATTGTAGTGTGTTACCTAACCTTCTACCTGATGCAGCCCAGTACTTTGAGCGTTTTACGTCGTATTTTCAACAAGGCCTCCGGAGGAGAGAGCGGTACTATTAATTCCCACAAACCCATTTCCCCCCAGAGTTAGTATCCCTGCTGAGTGGACAACACCTCAGGTACGTTCAAGCAATGAGCACTCCATTAACGCTCCCCCAGTGGTAGGTGTTTTCCCACCCCCCACTGTCCGGTCTCAACCAAACCATGACTGCTTCTCAGATGGTACGTACTGCCCCACCTCAGTGGATCGTGGTCACTCTCATGATTTGGTCACATAGTTTCACTTCCACCTTGCAGGTAGCATACAACCATCATCCCCGGATCAGGGACAATTCTTTAAATCGACATAAAGACGGCAAGAGCACCTAAAATGCTGACGATCCTCTCACCGGTGGCTCCCCTCCGCTGACCAAGGCAAGCATGAATATGAGGTTTTACTTTCCTGTGAAGGCTCCTACCCACCTCACTTCAGCCTATGAGAACAGTCCACATCCCAAACCACCAGAAGTCCGAAATGCTTCCTGAAAAAAGACAATAGTCATATACACCTCTTCGGGTGGTTGTACAAAAATGTTTAGTCTGGTCTAAGAGACTGGGTCCCCGGACCGCGGGCGGTTACTTCCATGGCTGCTCTGTTCCCACTAAATCATGGGCGGAACCCTGACGCTTGCACGCCCGAGCAACTGGAGGTCGCGCCACCTACCTGCTCTATATAACCTATCTGGACGGTTTTAAAGACCTACTGTGGTGAGAGCTGGCTGCTAGCCAAAGTTGGTAGACAGTAATTGACGTCAATGTTTATTTCCCCAATATTGGTGGTGAGAAAATGAGAACAAAGGCTTTGCGTAGACGGATGCAGTTAGCATATGGATGATCTGACACAGCCACAAAGAGATGCAAGGTTAACTTTCTGTGAGAAACAACCAATCAAAAGACTGTATTTTCTACTAACAATAATCTACAATAATGTACATTAAAAATCTATAAATATGTGTTGATTTTCCTTAATAAATGATCTGTTGCCTGGCCCTTGTCTTCTGTTGTTACACTACAACCAGCCGCGGAGACCCAGGACCGATTGCAGTCCGACGAAGCCTCAAAGGCCACCATCCTTGAGCAAACTAGTCCCCTCACAGGTCGTCTGAAGGTTCGAATCAAGCTACCCATTTGGTATTGGGATACAAGACTCTCTCCAACATCCTTCCAGCTCGGTTTTCATGACCAAGCTACCGTTCTTGTCAGCGCAACCATGACCTCAAGACACTGTCTTAAGAGAGTCATAGTTACTTCAAATGATTACTTTGTTATATAATTATTATTCCCTTGGGTTCTTGATGGAACTTAGAGCTTCAGCAGGACATTTCCATTCCAGCCTGTCCTATGCAGTCTTTTGTAACTGGCTCCACCATCGTATCTAAGCTTTCATTTCTTCTATGGCACCCTTGGACACCCGACTCGTTGCTTCCCATTCGGGTTGAACGTGACGGCATGGCGCATGATGTTAGTTAACTATCTTCTCAGCGTATGTTCAATCCATCTCTATTTATTTCCGCCTATTTGTTGGACGATAGGTAACTTGGTTGGTCCGCTTGATGCCAGAGTTCCCTGTTGTTTATCCTTTCTGTCTAGCCATCTGATCTTCAGTCTTCAGTAGTAGCCTGTTGGGAATGTTCTTCGTGGAATATAAATTCTTCCACCATTAAGGTATTTAAAACATGAGAAAATTTGACGGTGGGAACAAGTGTCGTTTTCATCATGAATAAGTTCTCTTTCTTCTCCAGGCTGCGCTGTTATAAATGCAAAAATATTATCATATTGTAGCCAGTGTGAGTTAGCACCTCAGTGGAGGGTTGCTCGCCAATGATGCGATGCACATGTTCCGGGTTCGATTCTCAGCCTGCACGCTGCTCAATCTGGTCTAGCTAGTGAAGAGAGAAGGCTGATAATAAGGTTAGCAAATCTACCTTGTAAAAACAACACAAGCTCTGCTGGAACTTTAGAGGAGCGAGCGCAAAGGTATGAGAAAAAAGATGTACAGTCAGATATGAGATATGAGATCTTATCCAGGTTTCACGGGGTGAGTTGTAATCAGTGTTACGAGAAGCAATCCTGATGCTTAAAGAAAGAAGGAAAATATTTGCAGGATAATACGAGACCGTTTCACTTCGTGGATTTTCTTCAACTGCACACATCCTAAACAGAATCAATTATAAGTTACAAGATGGTGTCTGAACATATTTTTTTAGTTCGAGTTATAGATAGAAAGTATAGGTAGGCGTCATAATTCCAAAAATGATGTAAGTATACAGTTATTTGGCGTTAAAATAGTTTGGGAATCATCGGTAGTACGCACCCACCACAAGGGTTCAAACCCAGGACCTTCCGGTGACAAGGCAAGCTGGCTTGTATACCATTCAGCTACTGGGATCCGATTCAATGGCTCATGAATTCTAACTTCTAACAGAAAGGTCCTGCCGATGATTCCCAAACTAGGATGAAACAGCTGTCCAGTACCCACTACCTGGTTTTCAATGGTTCTCTTACTGATATCAGTCCGTGATCAACTCGTAAAAACAAAACTAAACTTTACAAACCAAACTATAGAAAATGAATCTGATGCTCGCTAGTGACTTGCTACAGGATGGAGTTTCCTGGAGTTCTAGTGAGAAGTCGTGACCAGTGAGGTCCATCCAGATGTCACGTGTGAGGGTGGATATCCCACCGACGACATTAGGTAGGGTCGCGCTGAATCACGAATTGGTAGAAGTTAGAATTCATTAGCCATTGAATCGGGTCCCAGTGGCTGAATGGTATACGAGCTTGCCTTGTAACCGGAAGGTCCTGGGTTCGAACCCTTGTGGTGGGTGCGTACTGCCGATGATTCCCAAACTAGGATGAAACAGCTGTCTGGCAGTACTCCCTGGTTTTCAATGGTTCTCTAACTGATATCAATCCGTGGTCAACTCGTAAAAACAAAGCCAACCCTTACAAACCAAACTATAGAAAGTTAAAATAGTAACTATTTTCTAAAATAATTAGACAAGCGAGTAGAGTTCAATATATGGCTTGGAAACAAGGCTGGATTAGAGACAAAATACAAGATAGAACAACAAAATGAGTTTATACATATTTTGATGGAGAGTTCAGGAGGGTGGGGAGGGGGAATAGTAAAGTAAAATTATAACATAGACAAAACATGTCAATCGATTTTGGAAATGTAATAGTGAGTTCAACTCAGTAAGTTGGTATCAAAATCAAAATTGTTATTGGAATGTTATGCAACAATAGAACAAAACACAAAAGCACACGAACAAAACAATCATCGTTACCAGGTAGGGTAGTGAGAGATGATTAGTCACACTATCTTTCTGTACGCATAGTTTGATTTGAAGTCTTCTGATGGCAACGTTTTCTGGGAACCGAAGCAACCATGGTTTTCCTTGTGTCAGGACACAGGACATGCAGTGGAAATTAGTCAGGCTTTCAAGATAATGCACAATACACAAAGTTACTCTTTCAACACTGAATAATTTGTCTACTTACATCATCTTTGAAATTATGTTGCCTATACTGTCTATCTATAACTCAAAGTCACTGTGAGAAAGTATGTCGAGACGCCATTTTGTAACTTATAATTGGTTTTGTTTAGGATGTGTCCAGTTGAAAAGAAAATCCATGAAATTAAACGAGTTCTTATTATCCTGCAAACATCTTCGTTCTTTCTCTATTCGCAAACTAATAAAGAGAACCAGCAGTATGATAATGCAATGAGCAAATTCAAAGAATTATTGGTATTATCACTTTCTCCTTAATTCCTAGAGGAACATAAGGCTTCAGTCGCACGTCTTCATTGCGTTCGGTTCTCTGCCAACGTTTTCACCTGGTTCCACGTCTGCCCACATGCTTCCATCTCCTCTTCTCATCACCTCCTCCACTCCATCTCATCCTCGCACTGACGACCAACTCGCCACTTCCCATTCAGGTTCCACTGCAGGGATGACCTGGCGTTTGATGTCACTTGATGGTTTGTTTACTCAGAGTATGACCAATCCACCTCCATTTCTTCCCGCATATTTGTTGCACAATCGGTTCCTGCTGGGTTGGTTCGTTCATTGCCAGAGATCCCTGTTGCTGATCTTTACTGGCCGGCCATCTGATCTTGAGTAGTATTGAGCAAAGGCAGCTGTTGATGAAGGTGTGTATTTTGTTCGAAGTGCCCTTCGTGACGCGGCGCCAAGTTTCTCATTTGTATTCAAAGAATGGCAAATAATACTAATAACAGTGTAATGTAAACTAGGTAACTGATCTCAAATAAGGGCGAGGTTACTTTTGACAAATATCACGTTTTCATAAACAATTCCTGAAATACACGTGACTACACTCCTGTACTAGCAAGCGGAGTTATCAATCAAAAGATGTGAGGAGAGGAAGGGGTCAACAACCGTCTTCGTTAACTTCTTTCTTTTTCTTCTTCAGGATCGTTTTTCCTTTCCTTTGCGTTCCGAGTATAGAATGTAGGTCTTCAAACTTCAAGTATTCAAGTTACAGTAGCAGTGGCGTTGTTGTTTCTTTCCGAGGGTGATGTGAGGATGCGATTACTAACCCCACTCCCAAGCTCTCCTCTTTTCTCAGCTTACTACCGGTTTGTGAACAAGGTTAAGCTTAAGGGTGTCCGTCAGCTGGGAAGCAAATCTGGACTACACTTGCCTACCTGGCTAACATCCTGCTGCTTGGCAAGTTACATAAATCCATATAAACACTAGGCAGTAAACGATAATGTGAAGAAGATTTTTAAGCTCAGTTGGGTGTTCTTCAGTGCTGCTTTTGCTGTTGTTGTTGTTGTGTTGTATTCTCTGAGTTGAAAGTGAATTCCCTTCACATTATGCGGTTAGCTCTGAAGATGTTCTCCTGACAGATAATGAAAGCTTCACAATAAAACTGTCCACCTCACAGAGGAAACAGCTCTCGAACAATAACACCCCACCGCTTACTTTAATCTTTCTTGATTAATCCTCTTTTTCTTTTTTCACGGCTAGATTTTAAGTGATCCAGAACAACGACGTGAATATGACTACATGTTGGATAATCCAGATCAAATGTATTACCATTATTATCGATATTATCGACGTCAGTATTCTGCTAAAGTTGATGTCAGACTAGTGATTATATCTATCCTGTTGATTATCTCCTCAATACAAGTAAGTTGGTTTTTATTTTTTTTATATAAAATAAAAGAAGGCATTCAGCGAAGAGACTCTCTTCGGCGAATTCATTCACTGAGCTGTACAATCGCATATATATACAATTTTGTTTGTGTGTGTGTGTACATTAGATTTATAAAGTTTAGATAATTATGTAATATAAGTATTATTTGGCTTGGAAACAAACGTTAATTAGATAGAAAATAAAATAGAATTGATTAAGTGAATTGGATGACGTAATGCGGTTGAGTAGAATTCAGAGTAGGTCAGGTTGACATCAGTGTTAATGAGTGGTGGTTAAAATTAAATAAGGGTAGGGGTAAAGAATAATACAGTTGAAAATTAAGTAAGTTAACCGGTTGACGTAATATAGTTGACTAGAAATTGGACGTGGGTCGAGTTAGCAACATTGTTAATGAGGGTAGAGATTACAAAAGCGTGGGGTAGAGAAAAATACAAATGAAGATGTGAAATAATAAAGTGCAAAAGACAAAATAATACAATTAGTAAGACTGAAATTAAGAAAGATTACGTCCATTGTAGATTTAATGAATGAACGAATTTCTTTTGTATGCAGAGTTCAGGATTTAGCAGATGAATTGCCATTGCTTCTGTGATGTGGAGAAGTTTGATCCGTACACTTTTAGCAAGATTGCCTTGTATTCTGTAGATAACTTTGAAGTTTATTTGTGGTTTGACTTGGTGTCCAGATTCGATCAAATGTTCAAGGATCGAGCTGCGAGGGCATCGGTAACTGCTTTATAAATCCATGAAGGTTAATGTTCGTTGACGTGTTTGGATAGCGAACGTTGAGTACGGCCGATATAACTGGCTCCACACGAGCAGGTGAATTGGTAGATGCACATAGATGAGGCCAACAGCGGTAGCTTATCCTTCACGTTCATGCGAATCACTGGTCTCGTGGAGAACGTCAGTTGTAATTCAGCTGCAAAGAAGGTTTTCTTCAATGAGCGGGAGAGCCGATTTCTCAGTATTTCTGTAGATTGGTCTCCATTGAACTGTATTTCTTTAAAAGAAAATAGTCTATTAGATGTTTAGAGTTAGTAGATGCAATATCTTGGATTTTATTATTATTAATATTCCCTTGGGTTCCAAAGCCTCAGGATGGTCGGGGGTAGGTACCTTGCGCTGCGGGTTGGCCACCCCTCCGCACATCTCTTGAAATGCTCCCATATGACCGGGCGTCTTACATAGCCTCTCCTGAGGAAGTCCTACTCACTGCCTTCACGTGGCGGAGGTGTTTTTCACCAAAGTGAGAGGGTGAAAGTGGATGCCCGGCGCGCTTCACCGGTTTGACTGTCCATTGGATGACAGTCTAGGGGAGATGGCTAAACCCTGATTCCAAACCTCCAACGACTGGCGTATGAAGCTCACTGGAGCTCACCGGCAGACGTATGGACAAAGGGCTTGTTGGATGTCCTGGATGTCTGGCCCCATTCAAAAAGGCGTATGAACCGAACTCCGGTCACCGGCTGCCAATGGATAGTGGACTCCCTACTCCACTCCTACTGCCTTGTAGGTCACACTTGGTTGTGTAAAGGCTAGAGCTGCACTCTCAAACAAAAGGCCGAGCGATTCTGGGGACATCACTCGTACCAAATTCCCATGAAACTTCATGAACTCTCTTGATTCGAGATGTTCATGAAGCCGGCTCATCCTCCCGTAGATAGCCGAAGTAAAGTAAGTAAGTTCCAAGTGGAACATGGAGTCTCAACAGTACGTTGACATTTGACTCAATTCTCTACAGTATTTCACTTCAGCTGTCTCCACAACTGCCTATATGGCTTCATTTTTGCTTCTCATATAAAATCTCCTCTATGTCGCCCTTGGACGCCTGACTCATTGTTTTTTATTCGGGATCCACTAGAGGGGGCCAGCATGGCGTGTAATGTTGTCACTCGATGGTCTCCTGAGTGTATGTATTCAATCCATTTCCACTTTTTTGTCTATATATTTGTTGGATCCAAGGTTCTTGGCGTGCATCACTGGCACTGACTGAGTGACTGTTTTCAACATAGAACTTTGCACTGATTTGTGCAGAAGTTCGAGTCGCCACTCTCCCTCCATGTAGCACACAAAGCAAGGGCAGAAAGTAAAAAGAAATGCATAATAGAGACAGTAGACAAGGATCTGAGACAAAAGAAATAGTAACAACGAAGAAAAATATAGTTTCATTGGGTATTATAAGTCACAAGGAGTGGATGCATCTACACCAGCCATTGAGAACGATTTTGAGCCATATCACTAATTGTCTCCAGCCATTGCCACTGGTGTTTACCGTCCCGAGGACCCGAAACAGTCAGGAAGTCTGCATCTTCCTACGTGACTGGCTGGCTGAAACTAACTGTTTTGGATTTCATTGATTGATGAAGTCATGTTTTGGTTTGACCGCTACTAACTAGCTCTTTTCCAACCTGACCCTATGTCAGCTAAAATTGCCTGTTGACGAGGAAGGCGATGACTAGGGAAGCGTAACACATGTCCTAACCATCTCAATCGATGTAGCTTCACAGCCTTGTCGATTGATTTCCCCTATTTACCTAGTACTCCACCTAAGCCTGACCTTAATATTGCTCACCCTATTATACCATTTCACACACAAGGGAAATAGAGCACAGGCACGTATGATCAAAGACATCTAGCCGGCCTTTTCATGTCTTCCACTCTCAGTGGCCAGGTTTCACTCATAGCCATAAAGGAGAAGGTGGGAGTGAAGTGCTGAGCGATTCAGATATCACGTCTACGCAAGAGATGGCGTAAACTGGCAAATGCGGAACTAGGCGTCTGTATCCGTGGTGAGATTTTGTCAGCAATCAACCCGTTGGGGCTGGTTGATGCGACTTGCCAAATAAGTGAAGCAGTCAACACGCTCTACCAACCACTTTACTCCCTATCTTTAAGCTAGGAGTCAGTGTAGTTCAGTCACGAGTGACAGGTAAGTACATTCTCCCTTTTCAAACATAACTTATGTAATATGTTCGGCACTGAAGGTTGGCCAAACAACGTAGATATGAATACTTAACTGTGGATTTGAAAATCATGAGATATTCAACTGCTAACTAATATGGTTAAAATGGTGATGTGCTCATCATCCTTAATTTCATGCATGTGATCTGTCGAGAGAATTTCAGACTACACAGAAATAACCATATTCTTGGTTTCTAATAGTTCTTCTCTAATTACTGTTGGTTCTTGATAAAGACTACCACTGAAATTGACTAAAACTACCTAAGGACACGGCCAACCACAAAATATCCTCAATGTAATTTATCCCATCATCCAGAAATGATGTAGACAGGCTCAGTTAAATATTTTTTCTAAAGTTTGGTTTGTAAGGATTAGTTATGTTTTACGAGTTGATCACGGACTGATATCAGTTAGAGAACCATTGAAAACCAGGGAATACTGGACAGCTGTTTCATCCTAGTTTGGGAATCATCGGCAGTACGCACCCACTGCAAGGGTTCGAACCCAGGACTTTCCTGATAACTGATATCAGTCCGTGATCAACTCGTAAAACATAACTAATCCTTACAAACCAAACTTTAGAAAATGAATCTGATGCTCGCTAGTGACTTGCTTCAGGTTGGAGCTTCCTGGAGTTCTAGTGAGAAGTCGTGACCAGTGAGGTCCATCCAGATGTCACGTGTGAGGGTGGATATCCCACCGACGACATTAGGTAGGGTCGCGCTGAATCACGAATTGGTAGAAGTTAGAATTCATTAGCCATTGAATCGGGTCCCAGTGGCTGAATGGTATACCAGCTTGCCTTGTAACCGGAAGGTCCTGGGTCCGAATCTCAGTGGGTGCGTGCTGTCGATGATTCCCAAACTAGGATGAAACAGCAGCTGTCTGGCAGTACTCCCTGCTGGTTTTCAATGGTTCTCTAACTGATATCAATCCGTGATCAACTCTTAAAATCAGTTAAATGTTTACTATAATGGGGCCAAGAGGCGAATTAGGTAAGCCAGTAGATTTAAATAATGAAATCAAAAAAATAAAGGAAATATTTCTAGTGAATAACACACTACCCACCAGAATTTATCCAAAAATATATGAAAAACCATAGAAAAAAACTAAGATTAGCAAGAAAAATGACGAAAATTATATAGAATTCAAAGTCTCCGTAGTACTTCCGTATAAAGAAGGCACGTCAGAGGCCTTATGTGGAATTCTCAATCTAGCTGGAATTAGGGTGGTATAGTGGTTAGGACTCTCGCCGACCATGCACATGGTCCGGAGTTCGATCCCCTGCCGACGCACACCTAATATCTATGGTCGGCCTGCAAAATTTAGGCTACCGATATCACATGCTGAAAATTCCATACCTGTACCAAAAAAATACGGTGTGAAATCAAGCTGTAATCTAAAAAATCAAAAAAAAAAATAATAAACCAACCAACCAACTCCCGCAGAGATAAGTTTTGTTGGCTTAAGGACTCCATAGATCCAATGAAGAAAAGTAATTTAATAATTTATCAAATACCACGTAATGACTGTTAGTGAATGTCAATTACATAGGTCAGTCAAACTAGTAGATCGGGGTCAACCAGATTATTCGAACACAAAAATTTAGCTAGATCTAGAATAATTGACTCTGCAAAGTTGAATAACCTAGAAAAGACACAGCTCATTCATTGCACTGCATTCACTTGCACGTAATCACAAAGTAGGGTGGGTGGAACAAGGTGACAGTATGAAAAAGTAATATAGTTAGGTGGAGAGAGAGAGAGAGAGGTTAATCTGTGAGTGAGTCTTTGTTTATCGATTCAACACCGCACACGTGCAATCAGAATGATTCAACCTATTATACAGGAAATAAGGAAATTGGCAACAAACAACAAAGGGAAGTTGGAGAGATAGAAAGAGAGAGAAAAAATTACAGTGCACTGTACTCTTTTGGTGTTAATTCGCTTTCTAACAAATAACATTTCGAATCCGACTGATACGGATATTTTTTTGATTAACACTGCTTTTAGTCTAATCGCTATCCTAACACAACCTTCCTGGCATGGTAGGAGCTGCAGGAACAATAGTTTCAGCCAGTGTAGCTTGTTGGGTCATTACGATATGCGAGCCTGGCGACTAACCCCGTCAAGGTAGCCGCTATCGGTCGGACAGAGACACTTTACTGGAAACAGAGACAAAATGCAGTTTCCTAATTCTAGACTTCGTCGTTGATTTATGTCTAGTGTTGGATAGTAACTTGAAGATCTACAAGAGAAAAACTAACAAGCTGACTGAAGAAGCAGCAAAGGTAGAACGACTTCAGGTGAACACATGAAGAAATACTTAACCAATGAACAACAAGTAGTACCAATCACTATTAATGGGAGAAATGTAAAGAAATTCAATTCATTCACTTGCATAGGAAGGCATCGTTTCAACTGCAGGCGACAGCACGGATGAAGATGTCAGAGTCAATATCAGAAAGTGAAAACAGACATTCACTACTCTCAAAATGAGTTTAGAAATCTGCTGTACTGAGCACAAGGGACAAGATTCAGATTTTCAACACTGATAAGAAGTGGCTATAATAGTAATCGATATTTTAAACCAGTTAGTTAGTTGCAGAATTCATTTTGTGATAGAATGGGCCAATCACCATCCAATCAGAACAATCCATTTTGCACCACCCTAAGCAAATTTTAATATAGTTAGGAATACATAAATATGATGTGCTTTTTTGCTAATATAGTCGTTGTTCTAACAGTCACAGACGAGTCTTCTTTGTCTTTTGATACACACGTGGATGAGTAAAGTGGAAGTCACTAAAGATGAATAGACCTATCTAATTAGCATCTTATTTGAGTTGTCTATTGAGTCCGTGTTATTATACCTACGTATAAGTTCATTCGCGATTATATCAATTAGCGATGAGACCTACTAACACTGTCACATCAGTGCTCCTGTATGCTTCAGAGACTTGTTCAGTATATCATCAAGAGCATTTACAACAAGCTACTGCTGACTTCCATTGATAACTCTCGTCGCTGGTCCAATGTTGAAGAACAGATGACCACCCAGAAAGGATAAGCAACAGGGAACTCTGGTATCGAACTAACGAGCCAAGAACTCATTTTTTATTTATTTATTTTTTTATTCCTTTTATGTTCCCAGTGGAAAATAGAGTGGCTTCAAGCTACACAGGATCGGTAGCAGTGGTGTTTATTTTTTACGGGATGGGGTTGCTAGCCTCATGCCCAACCTCCCCTCTTTACCAGTCTTATTACTGCTTTAGCGAGGTAAAGGAGTGCGTCGGTGGCCTGCTCGAACCCCGAACCACCTGGTTGGTTGACGAGCATTCTACCGCTATGCCACCGATGGCATATGGTTCGCTCCTGTCAAATGTAAGATGATGCTACACGACTGGACCTACATTAACTCCTAGCTAAGAAATAGGGATTGAAGTGGCAGAGCGTGTTGACCATTTGACTTATTTGGGAAGTTGCATAAGCCGGCTCCAGAGGATTGATCACTGACGAAATCTCAGCGCGGATACAGAGAAGGCTCGGTTCGCATATGACAGTTTATGCCGTCTCTTGCGTAAACGTGTTATCCGACTGGCTATCGACCAAAGGGTGTGTGTACTGCTCAAGCGGTAAGCTTCTTCCTCTCCAGTGTGTGTGGAATGGTATAATAGGGTGAGCAATATTAAGGTCAGGCTTAGGTGGAGTGCAAGATAAGGAGAGGAAATCAGTCGACAAGGCTGTGAAGCTACATCGACTGAGATGGTTGGGACATGTGTTACGCTTGCCTAGCCTAACCATCGCCTTCCTCGACAACAGGCAATGTTAGCTGACATAGGGTCAGGTTGGAAAAGAGCTAGCCAGTTGGTGGTCAAACTAAAACATGACTTCATCAGTCAATGAAATCCACAACAGTTCGTTTCAACCAGCCAGTCACGTAGGAACATGTAGACTGCCTGACTGACTGGTTGGCGTCGTCGGGATAGGAAGAACCAATGGCGATGACTGGAAACAATTTGTGATATGGCTCAAAATCGTTCTCAATGGATGGCGCAGATGCATTCACTTCTTGTGACTTATAATTTCCAGTGAAACTATATTTTTCTTCGTTGTTACTATTTCTTTTGTCTCATATCCCTGTCTACTGTCTCTATTATGCATTTCTTTTTACTTTCTTCTCTTACTTTGTGTGCTACATGGAGGGAGAGTGGCGACTCGAACTTCTGCACAAATCAGTGCAAAGTTCTATGTCGAAAACAGACAGACAGACCTGTCACTCGAATCTTCATGAGGCGATAAACGTATTCCACTATTTCACCATGTATACACGTTATTCGCAATATCTGTATAGACTAATAGTGAAGTAGCCGGTTCATAAGTGTACTTGTTCTTATGAGAAAAGAAGGTTTAATTGAAAACCTGAAGAGTCTCTGAGCAATGAGCCATATTTAATGTGTCGTACTTGTTTGTTAGCAATATCTAGTTGTCGCTAGAACTCTGTAAGACTGAAAAATCATCCTAACCTTTAACCCATAGGTAAAAGTTCAGTGACTAGAGACTCTACAGAGCAACAACTCTACGTTACCTATTAATATAAAAGTTTAGGTGAAAAGGAAAGCTTTGTGTACCTACCTATAGAAGTGAGTGAACGGTTATTGCTTCCTGGCTGCTCACACCGTAGGCGTTATATATTCCATCTTGAAATACCTGATACAAAGAAAGCATTAGTGCTGCTTGATTATAAATCCCAGAAAACAACCGTCTCTGGCGTAGGCGTGACATCCGGCTGTCAACCAAGGGACGTGTATACTGCTCAGCAGTTCGCTCCGCCCTTCTCTATGACGGTGAGACGTGGCCATTGAGAGCGGAAGACATGAAGAGATTGTCTGTTTTTGACCATAGATGTTTACGATCTCTTTCTCGCGTTAGGTGGTATAATAAGGTAAGTAATGTTGACGTTAGGCGTAGAGTGTTGGGCAGAGAGGGAAAATCAATCGACGAGGCTATAAAGTTACATAGATTGAGATGGTTAGGTCACGTGCTGCGCATGCCTAACCATCGTCTCCCCCGACGGACGGGCATTACTAGCTGATAGAGGTGCAGGTTGGACAAGAGTAAGTGGTGGCCAAACAAAAACATGGCCTCATCAATCCATGAAATCCTTGACAGTTAAACTGAGTCAGGTAAGAAGATGCAGAGTTCCGGGTTGGGGCCCTCGGGACTCTAAGAATCAATGGCTGGAGACAATAGGTGACATGGCTCAAAATCGTTGTCAATGGCTTACGCAGATGTATTCAGTCTCTTTAACCTTCATATTCCTTTCTACCATTACTCATTCTCTTCCACTCTTATACTTGTCAAAATTCTATTGATTCTCTTCACTCATTTTCTTGTCTACCTTTGTGTGCTATTCGGAACGTGGCAACTCGAACTGCTGCACTTCGGTGCCAAGTTCTATTGTTGAATCCAGCAGCAGCAGAAAGCAACTGCTTGCTGCAGCTAACGGCCACATACAGCCTATTTAAAGTAGCTTGTCAAGTTATGTCAGTATCGCAATCTAACCATCGGCTCAAAATGAACAATTTTTCCGGCCAACTTTTTCTAATTCCCATTCTTTGTAGAACATGGAGGCAGCCTAAGTGTCTTCTTGGTCACCCCATCCTCCAGCGGTAGCACTTCTCCATCAGTATCCCTAACCTAGTATAAACTTACAAAGTGACGTTAACTGCATTTAGCCTAACCACTATCCACTCGACCTTTCTAGTATGGGGTGGGACTCACAGGAACTTTTTTTTGCAACCGGCATGGTTCATTAGGTCAATTGGGACATGCATGCCTAATCATCAAATATTCAAATATTAGACAGACGAAACACCAAGAATGCTAGAGAATTTTTAGTATCATGGTATTCCAGTGAATCATCAATCAATAGACACATCTAGATAGACTAAATTTACCAACCGATAAGAAAGAAACCTCACACACAAAGGGTCAAAGTTCAAGTCAAAGAAACAATCAGTTCCAATACAACAAGTAGTCTAAGTGTGAAAACACACAAAATCAACCAATCATGTCCAAGGTCACCAGGAGAGATGACTAATAAACTCGTGCAGAAATCTTAAAGCTCACTTCAAATTGAAGTATGCGCTGAAGATGTCGCCTAGTAGGGCGGGCGATGAAAGCTTCGCAAATTAACTATCTGGCTCAGAGAACACACAACCACATCAAAATCATCCACCTGAGCTACAAATTTTCTCCATCTTATCTAATTTGGTATGTCTCTATAGGCAAATTATGTACCCCTTATCTGAAAACCGTCATTTGCACAGATTTTCGGTGTTCTGATACTTCTGCTCTTCATATTGTGTTTCTTTGCCTTCTTTTCGTGTCCCACATGTTTTTCCTCAATGCCGGTACATATGCTCTCTTTGACGCCAACTCTTTTTCTCCGTTATTAGATATCTTTATGCCTATGAACATCTCTTTATATAGTACTGATAAATCCTATTAGTAGTACACGCCACAAACATTTTGTTAGCCAATAATTTTGACATATTTTGTGTCTATTCTTTTATTTTTTAGTATGCTGGTCAATGGACTAGTTATAATCATGCGTTAAGCTACTTGCTGAAAGATCCGAAACATCGTGCCAAAGCAAAACAATACGCTACTGCTGAAGGTCTACTGAATATACCAAAATATGAAGTTGGCAGACGGTTAACACGTGATGAATTAAAAGAACGTGAAGAAGAATTACTGAAGCGTATTCTAAAAGAGACTGTTGAACTTCGGTAAGCATAATAGTTGTTGGTCCTTTTCTGCCCTCCCCCTGCCCCCACCGCATGTGCCTCTAATTCATTCACCTGATGAACTGTTTCTGTTCATAGTGGGCATTTCAGCAGTGCGTTTATTTTCAAATATTGGTTTTGTAGGGATTTTGTTTGATTGCATGGGGGATTTCATCATGAGCTGACATCAGTTAGAGAACCATTGGAAAACCTGGGAGTACCGGACAGCTGTTTCGTCCCAGTTTGGGACTTTTCGTCAGTAGGCACCCACCGAGATTTGAACCCAGGACTTTCTGGGTGGGTGTGTACTGATGAAGAGTCCCAAACTAGGACGAAACAGCTGTTCAGTACTCCCAGGCTTTCCAATGGTTCTCTAACTGATGTCAGCTCATGATGAAATCCTCCATGCAGTACGTTTATTCAGAGTCTTTTGGGTTTGAAGATATTTTTGATTGATATGAGTGCTAAGTCTCGTCACTTTATGATTATTTCTCCTGTGGGTTCCGAGTGAAACATGGGGCTTCAAAAGTACATATCGGTTTCCCCTATTATTCTCGACAGTCCTCGTTAGTTTGCCCTGAGACTGCCCATAGTCTCTTATCCCCTTCCGACACGATTTTATACATGTCATCCTCGAAAACCCACGTCTAATTCGTCGTTTCCCATTCGGGTTCCACTCGACAACCTGGCGTCCGATATCACTCGACGGCCTCCTCAGTGTGTATCTGATCGATCATCATTTCCTTCGACTTATTTGTTGGCCAATAGGATCTTGTTTGGTTCGTTGACAGAGTTTCTTGTCACTTATCCTTTCTGGCCAGCCATCCGATCTTCAGGTATCGAGGTGTTGATAAGAGTCAGAAGTAGCTTTTCGAACTGCTTTTGATGACGTACGAAGTCTGAAGCATCTAAAAGCACTGATTTGACATTAGTGTCATTAAATAACATCAGATAGAAAATCATTGAGCAAAACATGAAGCATTGAATAGTTGTTTCGCCCTAGTTTAAGACTCTTCAACAGTATGCACTAACAATTCAACTGATGATTTAGCTAAAAACCTACAGGTTATCAGCTGATGTGTGGTGGTGTGATACAAACAGTGTGTGCCCACTGAATGTTATACTCACATATTCCCACAGTTCAATACTGCACACCTCATATCTATGTGAACATTCGATTTGATGTTAGACTGAATACATCTCCCACGGTTATATACTGCATTAACAAAAGAATACGATGTATATTTTAATATTCTACTTCATGTTGTTTGGTGTAAACCGAAGTCACACTCTCAGTGATTGGTTAAAGAATATACACTGTAAATATATAAACAGCGGATTGATCAAGGAAAAATATACTTTGGCTTCTATGTCTTGCCTTTTGCTGTTACATTTGGCGTTGCTGCCTGTCGAGAAATGAAAATCCCATTACCTTCAGTTTTTGAAGAAGGAGACATATGAATCTTCTTCAAGGATTTCGAGGCTGTTGCGGAGTTGAAAGGCGTTCAAGAGCCGTCAGCGAAGATGCTTTTACTTGGAACGCTGATGAGTGGTCGGGCGAGGGCAGCATATGATAGTGTGAAGCAAATAGAAGGACAAGCAACTTGGAAGTCAGTAGTTGAATGCTTAAAGGAGGAGTTTGATAGCCCGATGGACAGAGAGCTGGACGATGCAGCAGTTTCGTACCACGAAGCTGGGAGTTGACGGTGATCCTCTTGTATATTGGCGCTGATCCTGACAAACCTACTGCCGTCGCGTACTGCCAACACTGGACGAAGATTCTGAGGCAAAAATATTAGCGTCTCAGTTTATGGAGAGTGTTTCAGAATACATATTTCAACAGCTACATCCGATTCACGCCGTACAGACACTGGATATTGGGGAGCTTGCAAAGGTGTGACCAGGCAACTATTAAGCAAGATGGTTACCGCGATAGAGCCACCAAAAGCCAAACAGTGTGAGATTAACATTCCGTTGGCACACATTGTCTTTATCACACCACCACAGATGCATTTCCATCCATTTCCAGGTAAGAGGCCAACTGGCTGGACTCGTAACCTAGAGATCATGGGTTCAGTCCCAATTGTGGTCGTTTCTGCGCACTAATGAAGATAAAACAGATGTCCAGTGCTCTATATTTTCTTAATTGATATGAGTTCGTGGCGAAAAATACGCTCAAGTTATATTATAATGGTTTGGATTCCACTATACTGTTGCTTTTTGTTTGGTAGTCCACCGATTGTAAGTTAAAATCACCCATTATCTTTCTGCAAATAATCATGGCTGATATATAGGTTAGCGTCTAAAGATAGAAATTCAATAGTTCATTCTATCTAGGTCGACTTCTTGTTCCTTATTGGCTGATTATTATTAGCTAATCACCGTGAACCGGATATATACTATGCTAAACTTCATTCATTAGTCTGTAAATATTAGTTTATAGGGATTTGATTGGTTGCAAGTTAGACCACGGATTGATATCAGTTAGAGATTATTGTAATTACCATTATTATTGTTCCTTTGGGTTTCCAGTGGAACATAGGGCTTCAGCAACACATCTTCACTTTGTCCTATTCTTTGCTGTCCTCTTCAGCTGGGTCCACGATTGTTCATAATCTCTCATCTCCTCCACCTCGCCACACGGTCTCCTCCATTTCACCCTCGGACACACGCCCCACACTCGTCACTTTTCATTGTGATTCCACTTGAGGGATGGCCTTGTTGGCGCGGTATGTTATTCGATGGCCTCCTCAGTGTGTGTCTTATCCATCTCTATTTCCCCCTAAATATTTGTGGATCTATCGGTTGTTGCTAATTCCTTCTGACCGGCCATTTGTTCTTCATTATGGAGCCATCGAAGACAGCGGTTGATAAACGTCTGCCGCTACCTGCTCGAAATGCCTTTCACTACGCTTGAGCCAAGTTTCTGACTCATGTAGAAGAAATGCGTTAACATTGATGTTGAAAATCCGAATTTTGTTGTTGATACTGACTGTGTTCAGAAGATTTCCAAACTGATTTCAGAGTGATGAAGGTCTGGTTGGGGTCCTCGAGATGGTAAAAACCGATGGCTAGAGGCTTTTGGTAATATGGCTCAAAAACCGTAGAGGCATCCACTCCTTGTGATTTGTTATATCCAATAAAACTCTATTATTGTTCTTCCATATTACTATTCTTTTTGCTTCATATTCCTGTTTATTATCTCTCTTTTGAATATTTCTTTACTCTCTTCTGTTGGTTTGTGTGGTACATGGAAGGAGAGTGGCACATCTTTGCAATGTTCTACACTGAAACCAGTCGGTCAGTCAGTCAGTGATGGCGGTCTGATTCTCCTTCCAGATCCTGGTTTCTACATCTTCATCCATCCCACCTGTAGTTGAAACGATGCTTTCTAGATAAGTGAAGGAAGTAACTCCTTTCAAATTGCTTCTGTTGGTAGTAATCGGTGCTGGTTGTTGTTGTTGGCTATTTTCATCACCTTCACGTTTTCTATGTTCATTTGGAGTCCTGTATTTGCCACTTCTTCAGCCAGTTTTTTTTAAATTTTCGCCTGTAGGTCTTCGAGTTTGTGTGCCATTAGGTATAAATTATCCGCGAAATCCAGATCCCTCTACAATCGTCTTATCGGTGGTCCAACGTATTCCTTTCTTCTCGTTTCCCACACAAGGTATGTTACATAATCCAGTCCAGCGATAGTGATAGCGGATGTTCACCTGTTTCTCTTTGTGTTTACCATTGCGATTGTGTCTGCGTAACCCCATCTCAACGTGATCACATGTGGTCCTTCCCACTTTGGAAACTGTTTGCCTGACCCTGTCGCACATTCGTAGGTATTTCGCCTCACACTTTTATATGCTGCTATCTCCCGACCTCCTAGCAGCGTCCCAAGTAGCAGCCTCATCGCTGACAGATCTTGAACGCCACTTAACTGCGAAGAAGCCTCGAAGTCCTGCCCGAAGATCATCCATATGTCTCCATCAAAAACTGCAGGGCATAGGCTTTCCATTTGTCGGTAGACAGCGACACCAAATGTAACAGCAGAAGACAAGGGCCAGGCAACAGATCGTTTATTAAGGAAAATAAACACATATTTATAGATTTTAATGTACATTATTGTAGGTTAATGTTAGTAGAAAATACAGTTAACCTTGCATTTCTTTGTGGATGTGTCAGATCATCTGTATGCTAACTGTATCAGCCTACGCAAAGCCTTTGTTCTTGTTTTTCTCACCACCAATATTGGGGACATAAACATTGACGTCAATTACTCTGTCTACCAACTTTGGCTAGCAGCCAGCTCTCACCACAATAGTAGTGGGTAGTCTTGTCTCACTCCTGTGTTGCACTTCAAACGCCTCCCTGAATTTTCCGTTGTGATGAAACACTTGACATTTTGGTATTGTCGTATATTTGTTGAATGTGTTATAGTGATGGAGGTTTTTACTAGCCGAAGTTGTAAGCAGGTCGCCTTTAGCCGCCACTGGTGATATTCCACCAAATGTAAGTTAAAATCACCTATTTATTATCTTTCATATATACATAAAAGGAAGTAATCATGGCTGATATATGGGTTAGCGTCTAAAGACAGAAATCCAATAGTTCATTCTACATCGATTTCTTGTTCCTGATTGGTTGATTATTATTGACTAATCACCTTGAACTGGGTAAATACTATACTTCATTCAATTAATTTTCAAATGTTAGTTGGTAGGGATTTAATGCGTTTCACTTTTGATCAGTTAGAGAATCACTGAAAACCAGCAGGGAGTACTGGATGCTGTTTTGTCCTAGTCTTGAACTCCTCGGCAGTACACATTCATTCATGTCTCCACTGGGGATTGAATCCATGGCTTTCAGATTATAAGGCTAGCCAATTGACCATTCAGCCATTAAGATGAAATTCAGTGGCTGGTGCATTCTAACTTCCTCCAATTCACGATGCATAGCGCCATCGGTAGCGGTAAGTATTTGTGATTACACGTGACTTAGTAGACCCTACTGAC